ACAATTATGCAAGTACATAGAATGATCCCTGTAACTCCATCACAACCAGCCCATGCGAAGGTACAGACGGGGTGGGGAGCCCAGGATGGGGAGCCCAGGGTGCACCCCTGAGCCTCCTGGGGTGAGATTGTGCTGGAGCTATGCCTCCCAACTGCCCCTTGTCACCATTTTATCAGTTTCTTTTTGTCCTTATGGGTCCCAGGTTGGGAGAGACTGGCACCCAACAGCTCATGTGTTCCCTCGGGTCCCTGCTCTCGAGGGCAGGAAGGTGTGAGTCTCCAGCAGGTCTCAGGATATCAGAACTCACCCAGGCCTCCTGGTAGGGGAGCAATGGGCCAGAGGCTGCCCAGCGTCCCTCCGCCCTGATGCCGTGCTCTCCCTTAGCCCTGCCCACCAGGAGGGTGGCGCGGGCGCAGGAGAGATGAACCATGGCCAGGCTTCCTGCTCTGTGCTCATCCGGGTGTGACCCGTGCCACAGAGGCCCACAGAGGCACTTAGCCGTCCCCAGAGCATGGGTGTTGGGGCCTGGGGAGGGGAGGGGGCCTGGAGGGGAAGCAGCATTCTCTGCTCAAAAGAGCCAACTGTGCTGATTCAAAAAAAAAAAAAAAACATTTTCAAAAACGCCTGTGGGTAAATTTGAGCTGCCCACAGCTCCCCAGGGGCATCTCGAACTTGCTGTCGAGCCATTTCTGTGGATTTCAGTCAAATTCTAATTTTAGTGTTCATTAAACACGGGTAATTCCCCAGCCGGTCTTCGCCTCACCTCATACACAGAGAGCGTCGGCAATATAGGTCAGCGAGGCTTCCAGAACACTCCCACATCAAAGGGAAACCTTTTCATTATAAGTATTAACTTTATAAATAATGATGAACTTTAAAAGTTTCCCAGAGCTGCGGGGCATGTGCGAGGGGAGCGGGAGTCCTCCCTGGGAGCACCATGGGCCTGGGGCTCATTATGCAGGTGGCTGCAGACACAGCGTGTGCTCAGGGAGACGGTGTGGGACAGAGACCTTGTGTCCACCCTGCCACTCAGTTATTCAGACTGATAAAGCAGGATGCAACTGGCATATGTGATGTTGGAAACACACACCCCACACACACCCCAATACCTCATCATAGCCATGACCGTGTCTAAAGATAACTGCTTAAAACATTTTAGCTCTTCCTGTTGTTCATAAGGACCAAATTCCTTGTCCTAGCTGTATCAATTAATCTCTTTCAATCTGAAAGTAATCCAAAAAGGGGGTTAGATTCTAAGAACATTTAATACTTGACCAAATCTCCCAAAGGTATTGATAATACTTGATGATATTGATAATCCTCTGGCTCACAGCCTCATGATCACAGGGTGGCTGCTGCAGCATCAACTATCACTTCCTCACATCAGAGCAACCATTTGATTTGATGCGCCTTAATCTTTACTATGATCAGGTGTACATGTGACAATACTCAGAAATGTTTCTTCCTTGTTCATACCTACGCATATGCTGTTCCCAGTATTTGAACCATCACGTCTTTTCTCTGCACAGGTACCCCGCACTCATCCCTTAGGATTTGCTCCTCAAAGACCTTCTCTGATGACTCTTGATCTCCCTGAAATCCTCTACTCGACCCCCCTTTTGTTTACTACTATCAAAGCTGTCTGACTCCTCAGTAAGATTATTCTTGAATCCCTCCCCCGGGGGGGGGGGGGGTTGTGCTCTGGATGAAGCAGGAGCTATGGCTTGCCCGTCCCTTGATTCCCTGAGCTACACACAGGGCCTGGCTCCTCTGCGCCTTGTTCACAGTATGAGGAAGAAGGAAGAGAACTTCCCAGGTGCTGTGCTGCACCCCAAGACTCAACTTGCTCTCCGTGGGGTGCTGACCCCATGTGCAGGGTCTGCCTTCACTGAGGTTCAGCCAGGAAGGCCGGTCCCCAGGACGCCCCCGCCTGCCAAGACCCAGAGACCAGCGCACTCCTTAGGCCCCGGGGTCAAGGTGAGACTTCAAGGGGCTGGTAGGAGAGCCTGGCATATTTCCCTGAACTCCAGTGCCCATGGGGAGAGGTCTCTTCTCCCCCCCATGGGCAGCAGCCCCTCCTCGGTATCCAAGGGAGGACCTGGCTCTGTGCCGGGGCTGGGCACATCCCTGGGTGGTGGCAGGCCAGGTGTTGGAGCTTTTCCCACCCGATGGCTGGCACAGGGCCTGGTAGCTCCTGGCAAGAAGAGTGTGTGTGGGGGGGGGGGGTCCCTTCTCTCCCCCAACTCTGGTCCCCACAAGGCTACAAACGCCACAACCAGGCAGGTGTACATAGCATGGCCGGGCCAACCTGGGTGGCCGTGGCCATAGAGCCAGGAGTCCCTGCAGTAGGAGAGATGGGGCTCCCGACCCTGTGCAGAAGGGAACAGAGAGGTCACCACAGAATGACCACATGTTCCCAGGCCCACGGAGGCGGCGGCAGGGTGGAGGGTCTGATGGAATCCCAGCGCTGCCTCCGACTAGCTCTGACACCTGCGGGATTCACCGGCCTCTGCACCTGGGTTTTCTACAACAGCAGCACCTGGCGTGCTGGATTGTTATGAAGATTAAATGAGTTAATATCTTTAAGTGCTTAAAAGAATGCCTGGCTCGTAGGATGTGCTCTATAAATAAGATATAAATAATGAAGTGAGATAATTCACTAAAGTGCCAGGGCAGAGAGAAATACGTCCAGCCTGTGGCTGTGAGGCCCTGTCCACGGGCCACGAGGGGCAGGGGAGCTGGGAGCCACGAGCGGTTATCTCTGCTGATCAACCAGGTGAGCACTGCTGCAAGACGCACTGGGCACGCGGAGCTGGGGTCTGAGCCTCCCCTGCCTTCCCAAGCACCCACGGGCGGCTCTTCTATGGCACAGCTGCAAACGGGTCCATCAGATTTTGTACACGGGCTGGATAGCAAAGTGTTTGCTGTGTGCCCTTGATTGCCACGGACAGGGCGGAGAATAGCTGAATTGGGGGCTCAAAGAGGTGTGGCTGGAAGGTATGCACGTGGCCAGACCCGAGACATAGGAGGACTCCAGGCCGCCTGGATACAGACCGCGCTCTGGCTGAACCCCCGGGGGGTAGACAGCTCCACCACCAGGCACATCCAAAGGTGGTCTCCCCTCGAAAACTAAGATTAAACCATTACAGCCTTGATCTGTCGATCAGCACCTGTCACCAATCCAGAGAACACTGCACTAGGGCTTTGTCCAAGTATCCAAAAGTGCGGCTCCCCCAGTCCTGCAGCCCCTCCGCCCCTCCTGGAGTTGATGCTGGTCGTGGGCGGCCGCTTTCCTTGCATTGTTTTAATTGACATTCGGTGCCTGTGAATCAGCAGATGGGCAGCACCTCTGAGCCAGGCTCACTGCCCACAGGAGCTGACCTGCCTGGCTTTCCCTGCTGCAGGACCCAGCACCCAGGATGGACCAGAGTGCCATGGTGAGTCCCCAGAGGGAGCAACTGTTGGACAACCATTGTGGGGAGGGAAGAGGACAGCCACAGCTCTCCCTGTCCCCACACGAGGCTGCTTCCCCGGCTCCTGCACCTTCCCTGACCCACTGTGCACACCTGAAGCTCTTCCCTCTGCCCATCTCCACCAAGAGAACACTCACTCTTTTTTTTTTCCCCTGCAGTGCTCGGATTGAAGCCAGGGCCGCTTGCGAGCTAGGCAAACACTCTACCGCTAAGCTACATCCCTACTCAACAATAGTCACTCCTAAGATTCTGCTCCAGTTGCACTTGGCCATGAAGCCTCTTCTGATCCCTCTCTGCCTGGAGAGTGCTCCAATTACCCCACAGACAAAGCCTGCCCACTGCCAGCACTTCCCTGCTCCTGAGATCTTTGGGACAGGAAGTCCTTCCTACCACTGTCCCTTCCAAGAAAAACTGAAAGCACAATTTAAATGCAAGTGTGTAAAGCCATCAACCATTACAAAGCCCGCCAGTTTCCTTTGGCTCTTGCAGCAAATGACCAACCCTGAACCTCGCAACTGCACAGGCATAAATGTCTGAGCTTACAGCTCTGCAGGTCAGAAGTCCACAGTGGTCTCAGGAGCGAAATCAGAGAGTGGACGAGGTGCCTGCAGCCTCACGCCCCTCCCTCTGTGAAGAGCCCTCAGCTCTCCTCTCTCCAGCTCCTGCATCCACCCATGGCCTGTGAGCCCATCAGCCCACCTGGGCAGCCCTCCTGAAAGTTCTTAACCACTGCTGCAAGCCTACTTCCCAGGTCGGGGGATCAGGGCGTGGACAGCGTGCAGGGCGTCGCTCTGCCAGCCACAGGGAGAGAACACAAGGCTGTGGAAGAGCCCTGGGGGAGTACTCGGGGACCTAGCTTGGCCTAACTCTGTCGTTTCCTCCTGTGTGGTCCAAGATAAATCACTTCACCTCTCTGAGCACAACATTCCTCATCCATGGAATGTCAACAGGGTTAATCTGGGATTAAAAAAATGAAATAGACGTATTTACTTATTTATAAGATAAATAAATATATATACATATATATTTAAGAGGAAAGTACTTTTAAACATCAAGACACAAAACAAGTGCCAGGTCTAGTTTCAACTTTGCTTTTTCTTTTCTTTTTTTTCTTTTAGGTGTCTGACAGCAGGGCAGCCCTTTAAATGATTTTAAAATCATTCCAAGTGACATGAAGATCACATATACCACACACACACACCCCACACTACTTTGAACTTCACAAAAACACTACATCATAAAAAACACTACATCATAAGATTGATAGAGCCAAAGCAGTAGGCAAAGGCAAATTCACAGCTGGAAAAAAACAAAAACAAAAAACCCTGTACACTGAAGCATTCGTTAGATGCTAGGTACTATCACGTTTATATCATAATATATCATATTTGCATCATAAAATATGCATCCAAAGTACCCTACTGTCATACCTAATTTATTCTTAAAAGAGTTCTTAGAGAGGCTAAAAGATTCAGCCAAGAACTGGCAAAAGTGGGTGGCATTTAAGGACAAGGTCAAAGCACACACCTGCTGCCATCAGTCACCGTCCACCTGGTGGGAGAAACGTGGCTTTCTCCGGGCAGGATCTCATCCTGGTGGTTTCCTTCTTATTGAATGTAGCCTCCTCTGATGGTCCCTCGGATCCCCTTAAATTTCCACAAAGACCCAGCTGATTTCCAGGGGCCAACACCTGTGGCTGCCCGAGAGCAACCCTCAGGTGGCCAGAACTCCACTTGCCAAAGTCCTGCTAAGCGCAGTTGCCTGAAATTGATGTCCCCTGCAGACAGCCCTCAGCCAATGATTGACAAGGGCAGATTCCTCACACCTGAGGGGAGAAAGCGTGGAATGGAGTGTTTGTTTACACCGTTCCCCAAGTGCCCACTTGGAGGTTGGCTTTAGTTGCTCGCTGTGGTCACTGGCTACACAGCTGACCCCTTCCAGGCTCCATGCTATCCCCTCATGCAAGAGCTGCTTCCAAGATGAGGGACTCATAGAAGACATGCCAATAAGACAACTGGGGGATTGTAAAAGTTCCTGACATAGGTAAGGGGGGACTCATAACCAAATTAAATAAAATGGCATCATAACAGTGAAGACTAAAGTCAACATTAAAAAAAAAAAAACCCGTGGAGAAGTGGGTGAGCTTTTCCAGATCACTAAGTAAAGGAGCGAACAGGTGGAGAGAGAGAAGTTGATAGGGAAGTGGCAAAGACGCAGCTGCGACACATGGATCATAGATACTGCAGGAAGCCCAGGCAAGAGAGCAGAAGGCAGAGCCGACCAAGAACCTGTTCTGCAAGGGAGAAGGCAGGTGAATTAACACACAGAAAGCAACTCCCAGCAATACCCTGGTTTATTGTTGTTGTTTGTTTGTTTTAAATTCAAGGATAGAAGACCATCCAGAGGATCCAGACAGAAAATTCTGGTTTCCCACAAGGGGAAAAAAAAATATCAGGCTGGCTTTCCAACAATATGTACCAGAAGAAAACCTCTAATGCCCATGTTAACAGTGTTTTAAAGAGAGGAAAAATGACTACACAGGGAATATTATACCCAGCCAAATAGCCAGGGACACCAGAAAGATGTCCTGCATTCATAGACATTCTCTATTAAATTATAGAGAAGTAGTGGCATAAATTTTAACATTCATTTATGATTTTAAAGGAGAAAATTACTAAAATAAAATATACATTATAAATCCCACAGTTTAAATAATTAAAATCAAATTTAAAACAACTTCACAGAAAACTTTGAGAGTTATGACATTTTGAGAGGTTGATACAAAGCTGTGAGACTATGATGACTGAGTAAGCCCTTCCTTCCTGGAATATAAATAAGGGGCCCGGCTGGAGAAGCAGATGCCTCAAGCATTCAAATACAAATATTAGTCGATACTGGTGTAAAAGTCCTTCCCTGTCAGAAGTATCTATTATAAAGAAAAACTCTAGCTAGTTTGCTCATTTAAATTTTTGATATAGCTATTCATGGTTGAATAATGTTAAACCTGGGACAATAGTAACTTTTGAGGGAAATTTCTATGTATTCACTGTGCTTTGTTTCTGGGAACTGAATTCTAGTGTATTCATCTAACGTGTACCACCATGAATGCACTAAAGTTGTTATGATTATCTCAGCCTATAGGAAAGCAGTCAAAATTCTCATGGGGTTACATAACAAAGGAAATGACCACCAGAAAATACTTCTTTTCCACCTTGTACAAATTATGGTCCAAGTAGAAATAAATGGTGACTAGAAGAGACATTTTTTAAATAACACTGCATCATGACCTTTTCTCTTTATTGTGCAGAATAACAGAACGAGGAATAAGTTAAAATAAGTTCAAATATTAGCACCTTGTATGGAATGATGGGTGGTGAATATTGAAAACTTCCATATGATTATAAAATACAAATACAATAATGTAAAATAACCATTGAAAGATAAAATACATATAAAATCACAATCAGATACAGGATAAAAAAGAGGCAGATTCTACACCACCTTTCTTCCTTTAAAAAATATGTAGTATTTATCTTTTGCTACGCAGCAAATAGCACTTAGTGTTCAAACATCCGTGGTGTACTGTTCCTGACAACCAGGGCGCCAGGTTGGTGCTGCTGAGCAGGGCTGGCTGGACTGCCCTCACCCCGACTTGCTTCTGCAGTGGTGGTCGGCTGGCAGGTCATCTGACCTGGATGGTTGTTAAGGACATCTTCACTCACCAGTCGGGCAGTTGGCTCCTCTGCCCAGGCAATCACGTGGTGAGGCCAGAAGCCTGTCATCATCCAACAGGCTAGCTGGGTCTTGGTCGCACTCTGGGGGCAGGCTTCCAGGACTGAGAGCGGGGTGTGCAGAATCCCGTGGCACATGGTCCCATCCATCCTGTCCTGCTGGCCAACCAAATCTGAGATCCAGCGTAGACTAAGACTTCATCACCTAGGGGCAGAGTTGCAGAGCCACACTACCAAGGGCACAAAAGGAAAGGTGAAGAATTTCAGGGCTTCTTGACTAATTTTTGCAAACAACCAACCATAGTTTGGGAGTAAATCATGAGAGGGAGTTTAATGGTGCCAACTTCTTAATATAAAAATTATACAACTGGCAGGAAATTATTAACCATACAGCCTAAACTGAGAAAACCCCACAAAAACCAACATAGTCTCATATTTGTAAAGTGAAAATAAAGAAATCAAGTGAAGAATAAGAAAATCAATACTCTAATTTAAAAATTGGGCAGGTGATGTGATGAGGCAATTCTTAAAAGAAGAAATGTAATTAACCTGAAAAATGTCCAACCTCATTAGTAACCAAATAATTGCCATTTAAACAGGTATATAGGTACGCACAGGAACACAATGATATAGATGTATATATGCACACCCACACGTGAATATAGATTTATTCACACTGTTTTATAAGAATAAATAAAGTTGTAAATGCATTCTAAACACATTAAAAGGATAGTTTTGCCTTTCAAATTTGCAGAGATTCTGCCGAAACAACAATTCAGCTACTCCAGAAGTGAAGTTACTCTTACATACCACCAGAGAGAATATAAATTGGAATACATTTTCTGGAGGCCAATTTGTGAACCTGCATCAAAAGCTTCAGAAGCTGGTTTGCTCTCTGGCAAAGCAAACTGGGAAATAGTGCAACATCTATAATGACTGGGCTACAAATTTGTTCTTCCATGTGTTACATGGAAGAGTCAAATACCACAAAGAACCCAGGGACCAAAGGAAGTGAATCAAATAAATTAAGTCTGTCCTTGTAATTGAATACTATTTTATCACTACAATTATCTTGATATGAAGTTCAGGATATAATTATTGAAAAAAACAACACAGTATGCCAGGTGAACTTTATGTATAAATGCATGCAGGTACATGTAACCCCTAGGAAAACCACAAATACTGAGATGTAAATGAAGCTGTACTTTAAAATCTTTCTTTTACTTTTATTTCCCCATTTATCTAAGATGGTTTTGTATTGCTGTTAGAAGACAAAAATTAATTAATAGTCAAACAGCTGGTTGTTGAAATATTTGCAGCAAATATGATAAATGAGTATTCAATACTCGTGTATAAGAACTTCTTAAGAAATATTTCATGAGAAATATTTGGCAAATAACATAAGCACACAAAACACGATAAATTTTAATGGAGAGGAAATAAATGTGAATTTGAACACTAGCTAAGGTATTGTTCAAACAACTCCAATAGTTTTCTGGTGAAATTAGAAATGTGTACAGCCTGTCCAGAAAGCAATTTCATGTGAATCAGGAGCCCTTAAGTGTGAATCAGAAAGTTGTAAAATAATATTACAGAGCAGTATTAATATTAATCATTCCTATTAGAGGTCAGTTAAATAATGAGGTGCTGCAAGAAATCAAGCATGTGCTGGGCAGTGGGTGGGCAAGGCAAGACTTGACTTCTGCCAGAAGGGCGTGCCACCAGAACCCGCCAGCAAATGCACCTGAGTGGGCCAGTCTGCCTGTTCATAGACCTAATGCAGCGTCACCCTTCACCCTGATTGGAGGACTCAGGGGTACAATCTACGTGATTGTCTAATTTTAGAATTAGAGTGGGTAAAAGGGAAGGGCTGTTATAAGGCTGAATACTATATTTTGAAAATGGACCACCATACTTTTTTTTTTAATTTTTAGCTTTATTTGTTTATTTATTTATTTATTTATTTGTGTAGTCCTGAGGATTGAACCCAGTGCCACATGTGCTAGGTGAGCACTCTACCTCTGAGCCACAACCCCAGCCCTGGACACAAGACTTTCTATTTCTCACGGGATGGAGACTCCCTAAACAAGACAAAAGATATGCTTGGCATGAAAGAGATATCAACACACATGTCCACATGAAAATTAAAACTGTGATATGAAAATAGACCTCACAGCTAAGTTAAAAGTCAGTCAAGAGATTGAGAGACAGGAGGAGCCTCCCAACTTCGGCTGAATAAGGAGATTAGCAAATCCTTTCCCCAAAATCAATTCTAATGTTGGACCAAACAGACAACTATTCAGTGCTCTGAAAGTCGCCAAAAGCATACAGCAATCTGGGAAGTATATATGCTTGTAAAACTGTAGAACTTTACATAAGAAAGAACAGTGGAACTGCAGAGTTCTGGCAGGTGACTGCAAACGTCATTCACCATCATCACCACCATCACCACCATCACCACCAATACACCACCATTACCACCACCACCATCAATATGCCACCACCACCACCACACCAATATGCCACCATTATTAATACCATTACCACCATCATCATCAATACACCACCATTACCACCTCCACCATTAATACACCACCATTACCACCACCACCAATACACCACCACTATCAATATGCCAATACTACCACCATCACCAATACAACACCATTATCACAACCACCACCACACCAATATGTCACCATTACTACCACCATCACCAATACACCACCATTACCACCATCACCATTAATACACCACCATTACCATCACCACCGATACACCACCATTACCACCACCACCACCATCATCAACACCACATTATCACCAATATCACCACCAATACCACCATTACCATCACTAACACCCCCATCACCTCACCATCACCATCACTGCTGTTACCACCACCATGACTACCAGCAGCACTATCATCCTCACCACTATCACAATCACTATGACTTCCACTGCCATCACCACCATCATCACCATCGTCAT